TAGCGTATGGCTTATTGCTTCGGTTGTGGTGAGAAGGGTGGGTGAGAAACGCTGAGATATATATATATGTGTGATGAGAAGGCGGTGGAGAAGGGAGGGTAGAAAAGAGGTGATATAGTGATAAGTGGCGCAGGATCTGAAGCTCAAGTTTCTGGTTCGAACTCGCTTGTGGAAGACCAATAAGTTAGTGGCGCCTGTAATCTAGCTTCGACCTGTTTAAACTATCTGCCGAATTGAGAGCTGCAGTCAACCTTTTCTGCAATTGGATGTTGTTGGCGAGATGGTGTCACTCGAGTGACTTCCAAGTGCATCCTTCTCTGAATAGGTAATGGGGAAGGTTTCGTTTTTTGGCTTTCAATTCGTTATCTTAATTTTTTTCTCAAAATTCTTCATTTTAATTGATGGAAATGTTAGTATTACTGAGTATATAGTGAGCTCGGTGGGATTTCTCGATTTTGCTGCTTAAGGCAAAGATATAATGCTTATTTTTTATAAATAATCGATAAAGCCAGAAGTCAAACATTTAATTAAGCAATCCTTGAAAGCTATTTAACCGAAATCTGGCATCTAAAATATTCTGTTACAGACCTCGCAGGGATAATTCGTTGCCACCACAAGTAGCAATCGCTGAAGGTGAAGAAAAAGAAGATATTTCTGAAGTAAGTGATCAAACAAGGAGTTCTCCGAGGAGGCGCACTCGAACAACAGAGTGTGAAAGTCTTTCTGATGTCCAAGCCTATACAATGCTAGGCAGTGCCACTGAACCAGCTGAAGGCATACACTCTTAATAATGTTCTAGTGAATCTTCTTGTGCTCTTTTGTTGGTGGTCCTTACCAGATGTTGAGCCTTAAGCTTATAAACTCACTCCACTGTTGTGTTTGCAGCTGTTTGTAAGAGAAAACTCATCATTCCGAAGTGTGGAAAAGTTTCTTATGAGCAGTTCGCTGAAAAAAAAGTAATTATTGCGCGTAAATTTGTGGACAAAGTGAAAATGGGACCAGTGGGGAGGTGGGGGTGCGGCGGAGCGTATGTTTGTGAAGTTTTGCTCTTTTGGCGCAGGGTGGTCTGCGTCACGCTGTTATATCTGTTCCTCTTACGTACTTGTTTTCAGTTCTTTGTTGCCATAATTATTGTTCAGAGTCTGTGGTTTCATCCGCCCACTACAAAACGGGCCAGTTTTTATGCGTTTTTGCTTATATGCAAATTGCAAAAGCGCATGTTGCAACGTC